CAGTACTCAAGAAGACTGAGAACTTACATTTTGCTTACATGGTATACATTTGTTCCGATGTACTTATACTGTGATTGTATCATGATGCTCTTCTGAAAATATACCAACACTGCAGATTCAATTGTGTATCTGGTAATGCATCTGCTTGCTTATGGTACTACTGAACAATGGGAGTGCACAGCGGATATTCCTGCAAACCAAGGAAAGAGAGTGCACATTGAAAGGAATGCACAACTGAAATCCTGTAAATTATTCCCAACTTGAATACATCTTCATGTATGCAACCGTGAACTGAATGTATCTATTACACCACAACTTTAAAAATGTGTGTGTATGTTTAAAGAAACATACACAGATGTACAACGCTACTCTTTCTGGTTGTTCAACATAGTAAAATAGATTCAGAAAAACAAATCCTTGCAATCTAAGGGAAACAAAAGATGGGTCTGAATGGAGGTGAAGAAATATAATGAGAATGAAATGGAGATTTTCACATTTCTCTTCTTAGCAACCCATTTATATTTGTGGCACTGCAAAGGGATGGCTCATGCAAATCTCTCCAGGGAATGGCAGGGATGGTGAGAAACCCCTTCAAAAAGAGAACCCTTCAAATATTGCCTCAAATATTTTCTGACATCAAGGCCCCTCTTTTCTGCCCAGTGAGAATATTTTTTTTTCATTTAACATAATGAAGTTTTTGATATTGTGTTTTTTGGTGGCTTTGCCAAAAGGTAGGTTCGTGTTCTATGACCTGTCTAAACCCATTGCTGCTTTCTGTTGTAAATGATATTAGATATTTGTTGAAATATTCTCTCTCTCCTAGGTGTCTTCCTGGATGTTCAGCTTGTATCTTCTGGACCTGGGATAGTGAGACCTGGGGAAACTCTCCACCTGCTTTGTAAAGTGACTGGGTTCTCCATCTCTACTCGATATTATCCATGGCATTGGGTCCGACAGCCTCGTGGCAAAGGTTTAGAATGGGTTGCAGAAATATATCCCTACGATGGGAGCAAACGCTATGCCACTTCTCTAAAGAGTCGAATCACCATCTCTTCAGACACTTCCAAGAATGAGTTCTCGCTCCAGCTGAGTTCTCTGACATCAGAGGACTCAGCAGTGTATTTCTGTGCCCGAAGGACACAGTGAGAAACTTTCTCTTAGAACCCCGTACAAAAAGAGGAAACTCATTTTATTATGAACCATTCTCAGTTTTGGTGAGGCACATGTGTCCTGTAGAAACATGACGCCACTTTAACAGCTGTGGCTCCATTTCTATGGAATCCCAGGAGTTATAGGCCCCTTC